TTTTTTTTTTTTTTTTTTTTTTTTGTCCTAGAGCAGCTCCTGTACAATCCTTGCCCCTGTGCTTAATCTGTATTGGAGTTTTAGGAGCTGGTCAAAGCAGCTAACATTTGGACTCTTTTAGCTCTGTGGTTATGATACTAAAGGGGAGAAAAAAGGATACCCAATCTGTAGACACAGAAAAATGGTCTGATTCCCCAACATTTACATGTTTTGGGGTTAAAAAAAAAAAGAAAAAATGATAATACCAGACACAATCTCTTTTATCTGCTGTCCTAGACTTAAAAAAAAATTATAGTAATTTTTCATCAGAGATAGCTCTGTTATATCACTATATCATTAGTAAAGAAGATTCTCTTGCCATCTTCCAGACCTTCCTCACCTCTGCTTTCTTTAATAAAAGGCAATCTTTTAATTCTGTAATAAGAGATAAAGGGATTCAATTGCTACTTCTTATTCCTTTAACATAAGGCAGTCTTTCTATTTCATATTAACAGACAAAACGATTTCAATGCAAATCTACAAAAGAGATTTTGTGTGTGATGTGTATGTGATGTGTATGAATTTTAGTCAGACTGTAAAGGATGGAAGATCCTTGCACTTGTGATTAGCAGTTAGAAAACACAGGCAAGCAAGTAGTGCCTGGCCTTATATTGTAGACAGAAGATGGTATTAAAAAATAGAGAAAAGGCATGGAAGGGTAGTCAAGAAACATATAAGTCAAACCTTTTGTCTAAACTATTTTACTGAAAACTATCAGTTGTTGCTCATCAGAAAAACAGATTTAATGTAAGATATACAAATATATAAGAATTTACAAATTGGCTTACAATGGCGACAGAGACAGGTGTGGAAAGGGCTAAAGGGCCATCTACTTGTTAGAGATCCAGATGATCCAGTTGAAAGCCTAAAGCCCCCTGTATTGTCCTGTGTGAGTCCATATCAGGAGGCCAAAGGGTCTGCAGTGGGAGGCTAAAGGGTCAGTGCTGGAGGCTGAAGAGTCTGTGTTGGAAGCCAGGAGAAGACGTCCAAGGTGAAAATGAAGACTGGAGCTCCTCCAAAGAAACAGAAGCGAGCCTTCCTTGTTTCCCTTTAATACCATTCTAGGGACAATCCTCCCTCTGGTGTGTCTTCCATACCCAGAACGATGCTGATCCAATTTAGTTGGGTGCTTTGTACTCAAGGTAACACAATCTGTTAACTATCACAATACACCCCTTGTCAACTTGGCAATCAAATGCATTTCTTGAAATCATAGTCTCCAGATAGAGACAAGTTCATAATCATGTCTGACATGTAACTATCCCATGTGCAAATGGACATACACTAATTCCTTCCCAAAAATAGAAGGCAGTTTTTTTTGGGTGATACTCTTAACATTTCATAACTTGAACATTGGAACATATTTTAAACAGTACTTAAAAAACAATATTAAATCTGTAAACATTTATATTACATTGGAAGTATATTAGGAGAGAACTGTTATAATTCTTGTTTTGTAGCTAATCACAGTGTAATAGCTGGTATTTAAAATTATCTTCTACTACCCATTCTGTATGCCCTTGGCCTTCAGCAAGCACCTCAGCAGGTCTTGGTTCTTTCCCTGATGTGGTGACCCATACGTGAAGGTTCTGCACCATTTGTCATCTTGCCTGGATCAGTTGTTGTAATTTCCCTTTTAGTAACTGCACTCCCCACTGTAAAGACTGGCATACAGAAAAGAGTAATGACAGGACTTTTCAGGGATTTTCTGGATCATTCCAGTGTGGCAGATTAGGTTTGACATTACAAATCCACTCCAGTATTTCCATTTCCCTAAGCCTTTGAATCCCCTCATCAGTAGTAAACCATGGAATATCAGGCATTGCTAACTCATTCACAGTGGGCCATCTTTTGATCCATACTTCTGCAAACCAGCCAGATAAACTATTAACACCTCTTTTCACTCTAGTAGCTACAACATTAAATTCATAATCTCTGCTTTATGGGCTCCTATCAACAAACTTAGCCTGTTTCAGATGTATGACCATTATCCCACACATAAAATCCAGTCTCACGCTTGCTCATCAGGCCTCTGCTTATAAGAGTTAGAAAGCTCAAAAAGTTCTTTGGGAGAATAGTAGACTTCTCATAGGAAAATATGTATCTCACCCTTAGGAGCCTTTTGCAATTTGAACCTGGTTATAGTCCTAGAGGTAAAAGTGGGTGGTGAGGGTGGGTCCTGAGGAATGCCAGTATTATCATGATTGGTCAACATAGGATTCGTTTCCTGAGGTATACTAGGAGAGGCCAATACCACAGGGGAAAAGCATGGGTATTCCTTCACTACTGTGGGTAAGGAAATCTCTTCCTTTGGCAAAATAACCTCACTAGAGTCTAAAAGCTCAATATCCTCATTTTATCAGGATCCTCCTAAACATCTCTATCTCAAGTTTATGGGATCCCATTCTTTTGTAATCAGAGCCCTCACCTTTACTTTAGATACCCTTCCAGGCTGAATATTAAACATTCTATATTTTAGCCAATATGAGGGTCTATGTTTCTGCAATCTTAGCCCTGAGGCTGAAGGAAAGGAGATGCTATTTCAGGACACACTTAGAAACTTTTAAATTCTTTGTGTGTGTTTGGAGCTGGGAATTTGAATCTTTGAGCTCCTTATTTTCCTGTATTAATTTGCCCTCACAGAAGACTTTACCTAGGGATGTTTTGAGCTCATTGTTTTCCTTCACCATTTTTTCCAGAGATGCCAAAAGCAACCAGCTAGCATCATATTTCCCACTGTGCCAAAAATTTTCAGAAGTATCATATACGGAGTTGCTAAATTCCTTATATTTCACAAGTGGTGAATTAGGATAATCAAGTGGATCTATATTGTGTAGTACTTTAAACAAGCCACACCAAGGACTGTTAATATTCCCCACAGTACTAGAAGGAAAGACCATGGCATCTTTAGTCTTGTCAATTTAAAGAGAAATCCAGGAACCCCTAAAGCTATTAGAACAATTTTATCTTTATAATTCTGTTTTTCTAGAGCCACTCCTGGTACAAAATCCGTATCAGTCAGTGCTTACTAGAAAAACAGATTTAATTCAAGAGATACAAATATATAAGAATTTACAAGATTGGCTTGCAGTGGCCACCCACAGAGTTAGGTGTGGAAAAGGGCAAAAAGTCTGCCTGCATGCTAGAGAGTGAAAAGAAACGGTTGAAAGCCTGAAGCCCACTGTTAGTGTCCCATGTGAGTCCATGTCAGGAGACTGAAGAGGCAATGATCTAAGCCAGGAGATGATGTCCAAGGTGAAAATGAAGTCTGGAGTTCCTCTAAAGAAGCAGAAGCAAGCCTTCCTTCTTGTTTCCCTTTAATACCATTCTGGTGACAGTCCTCCCTTGGGTGAGTCTTCCATACCCGAAATGATGCTGATCCAATTTAGTTGGTGTTTTTTACTCAGATGGACACTATCAATTAACTGTACCAATAACTAAACTTATACCTGT